TTTGTATGGTTGAAGTTTCGCGAATCGAAATTCGCGACAGAATGTGATATAAAGGCATGAATTGAATTCTATTGATTGTTTTTATAAATAAACTGTTTGAAATGATTTAAAAAAATTGATTATATTAGTTATTTAAGAATATGTAAAAGAAATTAAATGATTATATTTTATAAAATTTATTATTCACAAAGATTGCGGTACTTTTTTGTTTAAATTTTCGGAAATATTTTAAAAAATTTACAATCAAATCAAACAATAAGTACGATACTGCAAATCAACTTTTATTTCTTAAATGTCAATAAAAAATTTACAAAAAAAATTTTAGAATATCATATTTTAGAATTCGAAAAATGATGAATGATAAGGAAATGATAGCAGAATTGTTACCATCATTGAACGAATTCATTCGGATGAAGAGCAAATTAGGATTATGCTTACATCTTCTCTTAGATTCCGCAAATATTATCACTGATGTTAAATCGTGCATTTGTGATGGAAAATTATTTAAAGCATACAAAAAGTAGGTTTTATTTAATTAATTTAAACAGCTCATATAAAAAAAGTTAAAATGATAGTTATCATTTTCTATTTTTCTTCTAACTCAAACATTTTTGTGTAAAATTTATTAAATACTAAATTTTGGTAATGAACTTTTAGTTTTTTTCTTTATAATTTTCTATTCCACAATAAGCAGCGAAACTCAATTTAAATTATAGCATACAAAAGCAAAAATTGATTTTGAAAATCTGCTCAGAAATTTAAATTAATGTTTTATAGGAATTAGGCTGAATTGAAGATTTATTTTATCATTCCTAAAATTAAATTTGACTTTATAATTCAGTCATCATATTCCGAATCATTTCATTGTTTCAGTATCTATTTCAATCATTTAATTTCAATAATTCGTGATTATTATAATTCATTCAAAATGTTTTAGTTTCATCAAATATGAGAAATGTCGCAATGATTTGCTGGAACTCACTGATATCGAAAGTAATGAGCAAGAAGTAGGTTTTAGTTTGGGGAATGAACTTTTCTTTTTTTGAAATTTTTGAAAAGTTTTATTTGCATGATTTGTGTACTTCTTCAGAAATCTAATCTTCTATTTGAAAATATTTCGAAATAAAACAACACAGGAAACATGAAACATTTAAAATATTACAAATATTTAAGTTCCATTCGTGAAAAAATAATTATATCCTAACACTATACCATATGTTATCTTCATTTTGCTTATCACGCAAAACCTACAGAATAAAAAGATGGTACTGGAAAAGCTTAGTTTGTCCGTAAATTTTTGAAAATATTTTATAGAATTAAAAAAAAAAAATTACAGTTTATTATTGGACATTTTAATGATGTTGAATTGATGGCCATACAAATTCGTGATGTAATTCGTTTGACACTTACCGGTACTATCAGTAATTCCACTAGCGGTAATGATAATGATGTTGATTATATCAATGATGATATGATACAGCAAATTTTAAAAATTATCAAATATGATGCAAAGTGAGTCGACGGTTATTGATTGATTCTGAAAGTTAAAATCATTTGAAAAAAATTCGAAATTATGCTCGATTGAAAGAGATGAACAGAAGGCGAAGATTTTAACGCAGTAGGAATTTTTTGGTTGAATTGAAATTTGCATTTGAAAATGAAATGAAATAAAAGGAAAAATTGTATTTTGAAAATATTGAAAATGAAAGAATTTGGAATTTTTTATGAAAAGAAAGAGTAGAAGAATGATTCTGGCAAGGGCCTTGAAAAACATTTCAAATTTTTTAGAATTTTAAGCGAAAAAATTGACGGGAAATTTTGAATTTTGGAAAACTCATTTATTTACAGATTAGATGCCGATAATGAAATATGCAAGAATAATGGTTTAATAGGTTTCCTAAATCGTCCACGGAATTGGAAAAATCTTTTTATGAGTATGTTGGCCGATCCGGTAATATATCCTTTTGATTACTTATAAATTAAATATTGTAAACTTAGAACTTTTAATTTATCAGAAAATTTTAGTCATAATTTACTAATTTTACAGGCACAAATTAGTATGCAAGAACCATTTGCTAAACAACTTTTGGAAACTTTGATGGATATTGATGATGCTGGTGATAGTGGTGATGAAATGAAAGATTTGAGGTTATCACTTGATATAATTAATCTAATTAGATCAAGAGGTCAGCTTTACATCTGATTTCTTCAAGTTTTATTCAACTTTCTAGAAATTTCAAATTTCCTGCGAAATTTTTATTTTGCAAAAATGAATATATTAATATACATACCATTAGAACGAGTTATAAAAAAAGTTCATGGATTAAAGAATTTCAACAAAAATTGATTTTTGAATGAATTTTGTATAATTCATTTTTAGAATTGAGCACGATACAGCTTATTATGATGAATTATTAGCTATGAAGAAATACTTTCAAGAAACTTTATTACGTGAAGCTGAATTTTGTAAAATTTTGAAGAAATTTTTGGAAGCAGAGGATATCTTTGAACAAGCAAATGATCATATTATCAATAGCAATCTTCGTGCAGCTATTGAAAAGTTTGTTTATGAAATTGAAAAAAAGAAAGGAGAGAAATGAATGTTTACATTGTTTATTGCATTTCATACCATATCACAGTAATAAATATGAATAAAAACGCTATGAAATAGTAGATATATTTGATATAGCCAGAAATTCATCATATATGACAAATATTTTAAACTTTTTTTCATATCAATTTATCTTACTTTTATACATAATGTTTTTTTTTTTTTAATTTTCCATTTAATATAACAATTACGTTATTTGTGCAATTTCATTAAGGTAATACGATTAATTCATTTTATCTCTAATAACCCAAATGATCAGTTAATCAATTATGATTATATTTCAGGTTACTGGAAGTAGAAAGTAAGCGTTATCATTTGCTTACATTCGCTAAATCTTACAACGAATTTGATACTATCAATAAGGTCAGCTGATCACCTAAAATGAATGGATGTACTCAAAGAATTCATAAAATATCTGCCCAATTTATATTTATTTCTTTCCCGATCCCATCTTTTTCTTTTATATTCATATGGTTTATATAAAATTCCTTGTTGCTAGAATTTGCATTTACTCTCAGAGCACTGCACAATAAATTCGTAAATTTATTACTTAGAAATGGTCAAAAATTTTCACTTACGAGTGGTCAAAGAATTTTTGTGGAATGACTGGAAATTTCTCCTTAAATGATTAAATGTTTCTCTCTCTCTCTCTCTCTCTCTCTTTCTTTCTCTCTTCGTCTGTTTAATTTCTGCTTTATTTAGTTTGCATTTATCTATTTTATATTTTGTATATAAAATTAAAGTGAAGATTTAAAATTTAATGAAATATAATTGCTTTGTTTTCTTACAGTTACTCATACCGTACTATGAGCGAATTGAACATATTTATGCAAAATTTATCAATGAAGCGAAATATTATTGCATTCGTGGCATTGATATCATACGTGGAAAAAATTCGGAACCAAAAAAGCAACTTGAAGTGATTCTTAGAGCGGTTGAAATTGACGAAAAGTTGGTATATAAAATTAAATGCTTTTATTCGAACTTTTTTTTTT